CACCCAGCTCATGCTCTTGTTCTCTCTCTCAAATAAATAAATAAAATCTTTCTTAAAAAAAAAAAGATACTTTCCATTGAGGAACTCTTTGCAAATCAAGAGTGTTATGTTTTATTTTTTTTAAAGATTTTATTTATTTATTTGACAGAGAGAGAGAGAGAGCACAAGCAGGCAGAGAGGCAGGCAGAGGAAGAGGGAGAAGCAGACTCTCCACTGAGCAGGGAGCCCGACATGGGGCTCGATCCCAGGATCTGGGATTATGACCTGAGCCGAAGGCAGCTGCTTAACCAACTAAACCACCCAGGCGCCCCTAGAGTGTTATGTTTTAATTCTCAAAATAAAAGATCAAGAACAGTGACATTTACCAGTTTGCCACTTTGGGATATGGATGCAGCTGGTGACAAAAGACAAATTCTCTCCCTACTTTGGAAACTGCTTGATTTATTTGTATAACTTTTATTTCTTTTTTTTCTTTTTTTAAAATTTAAATTCAATTAATCAACATATAATGTATTATTTGTATCACAGACCTTCACCTATAGGTCTGTGATTCATCAGTCTTATACAATACCCAGTGTTCATTACAACACACACCCTCCCCAGTTACCCATCCCTCCACACCCCTCCAGCAACCCTCAGTTTGCTTCATATGATTAAAAGTCTCTTATGGGGTGCCTGGGTGGCTCAGATGGTTAAGCATCTGCCTTCGGCTCAGGTCATGATCCCAGAGTCCTGGGATCAAGTCCCACATCGGGCTCCCTGCTCCTTGGGAGCCTGCTTCTCCCTCTGCCTCTCTCTGTCTCTCATGAATAAATAAATAAAATCTTTAAAAAAAAAAAATAAAAGTCTCTTATGGTTTGTCTCCCTCTCTGGTTTCATCTTGTTTCATTTTTTCCTCTCTTTCCCCTATGATCCTCTGCCTTGTTTCTTAAATTCCACATGTCAATGAGATCATATAATTGTCTCTCTCTGATTGACTTATTTCACTTAACATAATATAAAACTTTTATTTCTAATGGCTTAAACCACTACTTAAGGCAGGGCAATTGCAATCTTTTAATTCCAGTATATCAGGATTATAAATATTTTTATTAATATGCCAGAGAAGGAATAGGTAGGCAATGAGAAGTAGCAGTGATTCTCATGGGCATCTGGGAACAAGTTGGGTGATAGAAATTCACTCACCCACCAAAGAAAACTCGGGTTGCATGCTACAGTGAGCCAAGTGACAAGATTACAACCAAGTGTTTCCTCTGCTCTGCTCCATCCTACTGTATTCCCCACTCTTTCCCACCACCATAGACAAAAGAATTCTACTTCTGGTTGCTAAGAACTAAGAAGGTCTTACAACCAATCCCAATTGTATACTGAGTCAAAATTTTCATCATGACCAAAAATGTCATTAATTTACTAATAATACAGAATCTCCATACCCAGATTTACATGGAGACCTTTCAAATTAAGTCAAAACTATTAAGTCTTTCACCTAGACTCATGATAGGCAGCTCAAATTTCAGGAAAATAATCTATACCAAAAGGAAATGATTTAATTAGAGCCAGGAGAAACTATATAGCTTGCAACCAAACCCTAATGAAAAGACTTGACTGAGCTTAACTGGAAATTTGAGGATCATCTTTCTTCATTTGGATGATATATTCAAGTCATGTTATTTTACTCTATACAATCTAACAGGCAAAGTTATATAAGAGCAGAGTTTATTATTCTAAACCGAAATTTGCTATTTCTTACTGAAGAAAAAAAGAAAAGCTGCACATCATTCCCTTTAGGAAGCTTTAGGGTCCTGCACTTCAATTGGAATAGACAGATTTGAAAATCTTACAAACTATGATTTTTAACTTTAATTTTTCTGACATCCCAAAGTCAGAGAGGGTATCACTAAATCTCAAAACAAAAAGAATTGTAATCCAGTCTAAGAAGCAAGTTAAAGAATATGCTAATTTTACATTTTAGAGAAAGGTGTAATACCAAGAATCACTATTATAAAGAAATAATCCCTAGACATACCTTCTATACTTAGTTCAACCATCATTTGACCTCAAATTCTAAACATTTTATGCATTCAAAACCATATTTTTAAACACAACACCAAGTAGCAGGAATACTGTATTTTATATATGATCATTATAAAAAAGAACTAAGTGTCCATTATGTAAATTATAGAATAATACATGCTTGAAATAGATATTAATACCAAATATAAAAGATAAGCTCCCTGACTTCGTAAGACATCTTCTAAAATTAAAATACCAACACACAAACAAAGTAAAATATTCAAGAATGATTTGAACAAAGAAACATATTCCCAGAGCATAGTGCAGTGAAAAGATCAGTGTGTTGCACTGAAGACCTACAGCCTTCCTGCCTCCAAAGATTGCTAGCTATGTAATCTTCAAAAGTTTGACCGAGTTCACATCCATAAAATGATGACAGGACCTTCTAAGTACCATAACTACATAATACTTAACTTCAGTGAAACATATGGAAGTAACAGGACTCAATATATACAATGATGTAAAGTTAATTTATGTGTTTTGCTGAGATTGGAAGTTTATCCTCATCTCCTTCACAATGGGTCATTTGTGAACGTTAATAAGTAGTTACTTGACTTCTGTTTCTGTCCTTCAACCAATAAAGCTCTTGCTGAGGTCCCCAATGGTCTCCTTGTCAAAAGATTCAATAGATATGTTTAATTTTCACCTCTCTGACCCCTCAGTCATATCTAACACTGATGACCACTCTCTCCTCCTTTAAACACCTCTCCTGTTGGCTTTTGTGACAACTACGGTCTCTTGGGTTTTCTTCCTATCTGTCTAGCCATTTCTTCTCAGTCTCCTTTGTAAGCTCATCTTTCTCAACTCAGCCATTAAATGTTGGAATTTTTGGGCACCTGGTTGGCTCAGTTGGTTAAGCGTCTGCCAACAGCTCAGGTCATGATCCCAGGGTCCTGGGATCGAGTCCCACAGGGGGCCCCCTGCTCAGTAGGGAATCTGCTTCTCCCTCTGCCCCTTCTCTTCCCTCCCACCCCGCTCATGCTCTCTCTCTCAAATGGGTAAATAAATAAATAAATAAATAAATAAATAAATAAATAAAATGAATGTTGGAATTTTCAAAGGTACAGCCCTCGGCCTTCATTCTTCACTCCAGACTCTTCTTAAGCAGTCACACCCATGCCTAGGGCTTTAATGACCACCAAAATGCTGATGACCCCCAAGTGTTTTTTTAGAAGCCCAGATGCCCTCCCCATTTTCAGGTTCTGGACCTGTGTATCCAACTGCCTCTTTGGATATCTCACAGAGACTCTTCACGTGCTCAAAACCAGCATCTTCCTCCCCTTAAATCTTGCCTGTAACCAGGGTTTCAATCACAATGACTGGCACAATCATCTATTCAATTATATAAGCCAGGAACTCAATTCATCCTCGAGACTTCCTTTCTCTGCCACCTTCCTATCCAGTTCACCACCACAATCTGTAGATTTTACCTCTAAATAGCCTTTCAGTCTGTCTACTTCTCTCCACTTTTACTGCTACCAATTTAGACCAAGCTACCATTCACTCTCACTTAAGTTACTGTTCTAGGCATCCTTGACTCTCCAATTCATTCTCCACTTGGCAACCAAAGCAATCTTTTTCAAAACACAGACTTGATCACATCATTCAACTCCTCCTTTAGCTCCATGCAAAACACTTAACGGCCTTCAATCAGGCTTAAAATAAAGGCCACTATCCTTAATATGATTTACAAGGCCCTGCATCACCTGACCTGTTTCTCCAGCCTCCTTTAGAAAACACTCACTCCTACACTTACAAAGCAGCCATTTTTACTTTCCTTCAATTCCTCAAGTCACCCCTTTCATCAACACACTCTTGTTTTTTCATCAACACACTTTCATCAACACACTCTTGTTTTTTCCTCTGCCAAAAACACTGTTGCCTCCCCTCCACTCCCTACCATACTGATCCATCTCATCTATTTAACTGCAATTCATTCTTCACGTTAGCTCAAATCTCTTCTTCAGCAAATCTTGACACACATCCCCATCCTCGCCCTCAGTAAAAGTTCCCAGTGTACCATGCACCTCCTTCTTAGTAGCACTTACTAATTGTAAATTAATATTTATTTCTGTGATTATTTGGTTAATGTGTATCTCTTCCCCACTAGACTATAAATTCCAAGGTTTTTGCTCACCATCAGTTCTCTGGTACCCAACACATAGAAGGTTCTCAAAATCACTCATAAATAAATTATATATAAATTTATAAATATGGCAAATATTTTTTAATCCATAAAACCATTATATTTAATGCTTCTTTTAGAATTATTGTAACAGGAAAAAATAGGAGTGATGCAGGGGAAAGAAAAGAGGCATCTATTCCTATTTATTTTTGTCTTCTTCAGTTATTTGGTTAAAGCATAGGCAATGTCCCTAAATTACAAGACTTGATAGTAACAATAGTTTCCATTTCTAGAAAACCAAGGGCTCCCATTGCTTACAGACATCTCAGTGTCACTTTAGGGGGACTCATCTAAGAAACTATGCTTTTGATCAAGTCTAGTAAGATTTCTATAAGAAGCTGCCGGGTCTTCTTCCAACCACCCAGTTCCTTTTATGATCATCTCACTTAACACAACCCCAAAACATCAAGGGCAACCAAGGTAACCTTTTCTTTGCATGAAGTCTGAGAAGGAGCCATTTGGGGTGGTTGTTTTTAGCTAACATTTATTGAGCTCTTACTTTGTGCTAGTACCCAAGTTAATACATTATCTCCTTTAATCAAAATCCTCAGCTGGCCCCTTTATTGATTCCCATTAAGGCAGTCAATAAAGAAACTGTCTCTGGGCATCCAACGTGAGCCTGCTGTGATTACCAGCTGGTTGCCAAGACAAAATGGCCACTCCAGAGGATAGGGAAGATTTTCCACTTCCCCACAAGTGGGTTAAGATCCAGCCCCCAGGGCCCTCGCCCCACATCGCTTACCCTCCTGGCTCAGTGACAGCAGCGTGGGCAGCACCTGCCTGCCCAGGTCTTGCACGGAAGGGACGATGGTGTCCAACATCGCAGGTCTCCAGTTGGCTAGGTGCTCAGTCCTCGATGGGTCTCTTCTTTCTTTATATGGAGTTTGTACAAAAGTGAATTTCCCACCCTTCAATCCCCTCTCCTCAGAGCTTTGGATGTGCCTTAAAAACAAAAATTACCAAATCTTGATTTTTTTTCTTAAACGCTCTTTCTTGCTGTCCCTCCCACCATGTGCTGGCTCTGCCTGAGTGGCTCCCGCCGCAGGAACCCTGAGAGCTGTCCCGCACCAGTATGCAAATCCAAGCCCTCGGGGCCACCGAGAGGCCCAGTGAGAGGGTGAGCGGGAGCCAAGAGCTGGCAAGGAGGACTAAGGGAGGGAAGGCCAGCCGCAGGGAGGGCGAGGTTTGTTGCTAGGACGCGACAAAGGCTTCCTACGTTGCTAGGGTGTCAAAGTAAGGCCTTGGCCCCGCCTCCTACGATGGGTCGGGCGGGGCCCCACGTTGCCCGGGTGATTCCCGAGCTCCCAACAGCGAGTTGGGGAGTAACTTCACGTTTTTATCTTTGTTTTTTCTTTCCCTTCTTACCCTGGGCAGCGAAGAGACTTGCTCGTTTTTTTAAGCACTTTGGACCAATTTGGGAATACCTTTTAACCCTAGCGGTGGACATTTGAGTCTCCGGATCTGTGTGAGGGTTGCAGTTTGAACTGGACCTTGTTTCTCGCATTTGGTTTTCTTGGGCTCTCTTCTGAGGAAATGGAGAGCTGGAGGACTGGGGAGAGAAACTGACGTTTCTCTAATGACAGTCATTTTTTAATTCCCTGTACACTGCACGAATGTCATCCTACAGACTTGTTTTAATACTCTCCCCTCTGCTGATAATGAATTATCCCAAAGTGAACACATACCTAAGCCCCACCCAGGTCAAGAAATAGAACCCTTACATCCATCCCTCACTACTCAAGATTAGCCAAGCTACCCTATCTCTCTGAGGTTCTCTACGAAAACTGAGAGTTAATAAAACAAAAGTCACACAAAGAGTTTTCCCAGAGTGTGTCCCACAGAATACTAACTTCTTATGGCATAAATAAATGATAAGTGCAAAAAGGAAGGGAGGGAGAGGAAGGAAGCCCTGTCACCACAGAAACACCCCATTCCTCCTCCAGGCATTACTCCAACAAACATGATAAATTTGTTTTGCCTGTGTTTGAACTTCTGGAATCATATAGCATGTATTATTTTGTGTGTGGCTCTGTCATTCAACTGTGAGATTCTCCATGGCTTCTGTAGTAGCAATTTGTTCATCTTCACTGTTGCATATTATTCCTGTGCATGAATATGGCACAATGTATTTATCCATTCCACTGTGGAGGGAATATTTGAGTTATTTCCATTTGGGGGCCAATAGGAACAATGTTGCTGCAAACATTCTTGAGCAAAACTTTTGATGTACATACATACTCATTTCTGATGTATAAACAATTAGGAGTAGATTACTGGGTCATGGGAAATGCAGATTTTAACACATAATGCCAAGCAGATTTCCAAAGTGACTGTTGCAATGGTGGTGGGAGGGAGAAACTTCTGGCACTTCATGTGAACAGAAACTAGGGATGCCAGACGGCCTGCAATGTACAGGACAGTCCTATACAATGAAGACTATTCCACATTCTGCACTATGTTGAAATATTTCAACAGACTTCCATATAAGAAAAAAAAAAGGCTGCTTATGAAGCTAGAAAAAAATCCACTTTAAGTGCAAATACAAAGAAGTTTCTGCTTAATTTCAATATCACTTAATTTCCTAGAAACTCAAAATCCAAGTAAACCGGGGAATTATGCCTTTTTTTTCAGGATTTAAGATTATGCCTTTTTTTCAGGACTTAAGAAGAATTCTTCACTATTTAGGAAAACTATAATCATTATGATGGATGAGTCTCATGGCTGTTAAGTAGCCAACACACTTGAACCAGACTGCATTTTAGCTGTAGCATTCATAGTGATTCTTCCGGTTCATATAAGCATGTGGCAACTTCATTTGCCTTCCAGCATAGTCATGCCTCGACATGTAATAGCAAAATATATATTAAAATATACATTACTTACATTATACTAGAGTTCAGACTTTATATTCTTTTTTTTTTTAAGTAGGCTCCATGCTGGGCATGGAGCCCAATGCAGGGCTTGAACTCACAAACCTGAGGCTGAGAACTGAGCTGAGATCAAGAGTTAGATGCTTAACCTACCAAGCCACCCAGGTGCCCCCTTTATATTCATTTTTAAATGGTATGGGTAAATAAGCTGAATTATCCATAAACCTCACTTCAGGATAGTAACAAGGCATTCAGGCAAAATATTTGTTATAAAAAAGAATCATTGTGTCTAATAGGCCTGAGAACCTCTGTGCTATAAAAGACAAGCTCTATAACTCAGCTTTCCTCTCTCTACCTTCTACTAAGAAGCTCAGAACTAGGTTTTAGGCCTTGCATAAGCTAGTTTCTTGGAAAAATAATTTCCTCCCACTCTCTCTTTTACCACCTGCCTCTTGTCCTTAGTCTATGATGGTGTTTAGTCTTCAAGCACTTATCTTTGCAGAATAGGCTGCCTTAAATTCTCTGGGGGAAATAAGGGAGGACTGTTGAATGGAGCAGCGGCAAACAATGGGCAAACTCTTGTGACAGTTACCCTGACAATTGCTGAGCAAGCTAATTTTTAGTGGTCATATCAGCATTATTATTCAATCTTAAGATAATGAAATTGAAAAAATATATATATTTTTAGAATAATAGATTAGATTGACTTAAACATGATGATGATACTTCTAGTCTCCAGAAAAGCTGTCTTCAGTTTCAAAAAATGGTTATGAATGACTGCTGATTAGTGAATTATAGATGACCAAAGAAGGATCTACAAATGATGAAGGCAAAGACCATTCTTTCAACATCTTTTCCTTTTACCAAAGGTATCTTGACAAAAGAGGCTGTGGAGACACACGTAACCCAGTGTTTACTAGCAACTTGAATGAGCTATAAACATGTATCCTGAAAAGAAATACCCTTTAGTTGATAACAAAGCTCAAGCAAACATTGCAATTCCACTGCTTAGAATGTGCTCTTTGGATACACCTGCATGATACAGATATATATATATGAAGCATTGTTTGTAATGCTAATTATTAGAATTAACCTAAGATAATCATCACAGGGAACTAGTTAAATCATAAATTGTACTTTGGAATACATGTTGAAGAGTTTGCTTAAAAGAAAGCTGTTCATTTATGTGCTGATATTTTAAAAGTTTCAAGATGTATTAAGTGAAAACTTATTGCAGAGTAGTATTAATAATATGATACTATTGTTTCAAGTATACATATACATAATTATAAATTCATAGAATATTTGAGGAAAGATATATAAAAATATTAATAGTGGTTATTTTTGGATAGTGTGGAATTGTGTGTGGAGAAGGAGGAGTTCAGAGAACTTTTAGGTTAACTTTTCTCCTTTATTTACTGTTTACCAAGAGCATGGATTATCTTAGTAGTAATATTTTAAAGATAATTTGCCAAAGAGGGAGAAACAGAAGACAGAGAGAGGTAAAAGCAGAATGCAGGGATTTATGAAAACACTGAAGGAAACAAACAGGGCCAAAATTTTCCAAAGTACTTTAATATACATATACTTTTCTGCAAGCTTCAACTCACCTTGCAAAACCCAAATTGAATGGGCAGTCACTTTTACCCAGACCCCAAAGCATACACAATATTCAGTGGCTTGTATTAAAGGCAACTTGGAAACCTATTAAAAAAGAAAACATTTGTGGGGTGCCTGGGTGGCTCAGTAGTTAAGCGTCTGCCTTCGGCTTGGGTCATGATCCCAGGGTCCTGGGATTGAGTCCCGCATCGGGCTCCCTGCTACGGGGGAAGCGTGCTTCTCCCTCTCCCACTCCCCCTGCTTGTGTTCCCTCTCTTGCTGTCTCTCTCTCTGTCAAATAAATAAATAAAATCTTAAAATAAAATAAAATAAAATAAAACATTTGCAATATTCTTGTTTTAATATTACACAACACAGAATAAAAATTTTCAAACCCACATCTATTAAGTATCTAATATGTGTCAAGCACTTTGCTAGTTGGTAAGAGGAATACAGCAGAAGAAAATCCCTACACCATTCATTCGCCATTTAACAAATATTTATTGAAGAAAGTTCTAAAATCAGTATTGGGTTCCTAAATCAATGTGTAAATTGAAAATTCAGTAAGTGAGCAAAATTACTCTAGAAATACCTTCTTAGGAAGACACCATGTTAGAGACCCAGATAGCATCTCTTGGTTCATAGACCCAAAACAGCCAGTTTTTCTCTCCAGTTTTGGATCAGATCACTTTCCTGTGAGAATGTAATGAAGCAATTGGCTTATGATGAGGAAAGAAGTCTTGTCTGAAAAATTTAACCAAATAGTAGAATTGCACTCAGCACAGTGAGATGCCATGATAGGTACTCAGGAACTAAGATAGACTGAAAATATACCAGATGCATACCTCCAATCCCTTGCTTACTCAAGGGCTTATGCAGAAATGGACTTGTGGTGGCTTTCTACCACATTAACTTAGCTAAGATGGAACTGCATTTCCCAGAATTCCCTTCCCTGTATGGCTCTAGGATAAGGTTAGTAAAAAGAGAAATTTGTGTGAGATTTGAAAGGCAGAAGTAAAGGTGAAGACATTTTTATGTTCTGAAGATCCTTGTAGGGCCAGACACTGATCTGCTGGCTCACCACGTAAGCATGGGCCAGCAGCCTGGCCTGCACTCTCCAGCTCCCACCAGATCTCCTCCTTCAGCTCCTCTGAATCCTCAAGTAGGTGCATGTTCAACAGTGTGGCCAAAGGCACCACCTTATCCTATAGGTCAGATGTATCACTGAAGTTAGATACAATGAGAGACAAATACAAGTCCCAATTTGTTCTCACAGGTTCTAGTTTGTCCTCATGGGTTCCAGCTTATCCTCACCAATCCCAATCATTTTTTTATTCTCCCCCATTTCATGACCATCTTTCCTTCCTGACTGTTGTTCCTGCTGACTTCAGGCCCAACATCAGAAACAGACTGCTTCAGAAGCCCCTACAATTATGTAAGGGCTAACACCCATGGCAATCCCATATTCTTCATCATTCATAGGGCTTCTGATTCTGCTTCCTAAGTAAACTCTAACTGATACAGGACTAGTGGTTAGTTGTTAGAGAATTTAAATTATTCTTTTTCAGCTTTACTTAGACTTGAAGTCATATAAATTGTGCACTGCAACTCTATTATAAAGATACATTAACACTCAGGTTAGAGGTATGAAGACAACAGAATGGGATTACAAGGAGAGAAACATTACTGATAACTGAGATGATTTGTCT